TATGGGTAATTTTTTTGAGTATCTCGAATAGTCGGTTGGTAAGAACTTTTGAATGTTTTTTTGTTTTTTTAGTCATAGTTTTGTAGTAAAAAATGACGTTTCTTATTGGCGTTTTTCTCCCCCTTCATTTCCTTCCGGAAGTTTTTCGATTTTTGCTATGAAGGTTCAGATGGGTACCATGATTTGGTTTTTAAGAACTTGAACAATCGAGCGCTTTTAACTCTGTCGCGCAGTAAATGCCTACTTTGAAATCTAGCTTTCCTTAATCACTCCCTTAATCAGTTAGTGAGTTAGAAAGTGTAGGATTGCTTTTACACTTTTTCAGTTGCTTCACTTGGTTTTTTTTTTTTTCTTGTTGTTGTTCTTGTCCAGTTTCAGCATTTGTTATATTGAATTTTGTCACCACCGTAAATTGGGTTTGGCGATATACAGCTCTCAGTAGTTTTCTTTACATCTTTTAGTGTTTCTTAAACTTCTGCGCTTATTAAGAATTTTTTTGTGAGGATACAGATTTCTAAACCTCAGTCACGCTTTTGGACAAGTTTGCAAACATTTGGGGTATTGAAAACTGTTGCCGCATTCTTTTTCATTACAATTAAATTTTGTTACAGGGCTGTGATGATGAAGAGAAAGGTATGAATGCTGGCTAAATATATAGCAGTTTTGAAGTTCTGCCTTTAAAAAAACAAAGATCATTTTTTTTTTAGCCTCTACTTCGTTTATCGATTCCTTTCAGCCTTATCTCTTCTGTTACAGTTGCTTGGGCCCCATAAGTAGATAACCAAAAATAAGTCCCATCCTCTGTGCGTAGTCCCCCAGCTTGTCACTGCTTGCCTCAATGGCTTGGATGATTTCCAGATTAGTATGTACTCGTGTGAGTTTCTAGAGCTTATTTTTATTTCTATTATGAAAACTGAATAGCATTATTCAGCTTATTTTTGGAATAATACAGGATTCAAAAGTAATTTTTATATATGTTGTTTTATGTTTTATAGTAGACTGTTAAGGCTTCATTGAAGATTTTCCCCATCTTATTCGCAGTAAACGTTTAGTCTTAATCTTTTTTTTTTTTTTGCTAACATTGTAAAACTGACCGCAGTGCGCAATTTTGGTCAGTTATATTTTTCAAAGATTTTTTTCAGCTGATTAGAAGCAGTTTCGTTGATTATTTTTAGCTCGTAGATCTCATTCAGCTTTTTAAGCTGGCATTTTTGCTTTTTTGGTTTTATCAATCTTTATCTTCTATTCCTGTCTTTTTTTTCTTTGAACAGTGAATTCATTGTGATTATTCTGTTTTCATTGTCTTCACAAATTTTGCTGAGGAGTATGGGCTAGACTTAACGCGTACTTTTTTTTTGGGATTTGGACTAAACTTTTTGCATCTTTAGCGTAGAATCATTGGGAAATTATTTTAGGGTTTTCTGGCTATGATATTTGCAACAGGGTAATTTAGTTTGGTTCGTGTAGATGACGCATATGAATTATATGGAAGAGGAGGGCGAACAGTTTTATGGTTTAATGCAAAGTTAGTTTTGAAACCATTGGTAGCTCGATTTTTTAGAAAGCAAACGGTTCGCAGGCGCAGGAGCGTTACAGTTTTTTTTGACTTCAAAGCCATGTATTTTAAATTTGTAAAAAACTTTGAATTGGTCCATGAGAGTTATGGAGTTTTGCAGGTTGGTTTGACTCGTTTTTTTAAAAAGTATTATTTTTGTTTGCTACGTTTAAGTTTAGTTCAACCAGTGTAGTACATGATGTCTTTGCTTTTGCAGCTATAAAGTAAGCAACTGATGGTTCTGAAGGTATATAATAATTACTTCACAGTTTTATCCTTTCGGTGCCTGTAATATTTGTTATGAAATTTTATTATTACAACTGGATAGTTCTGAAGTTGGTAGTGGTGTTGAAGCCAATATTCAAGTACTCGTATTTATTCTGTTTGAGAAAAAAAATAAATCCTTTGATTGCAGCTTCAACACTTTGCATCCTTTTGAACATTATTTCAAGCATATTGTATTTGTAATTAGAAAAATGAAACACTGTTGGCTAGCACTTGTAAAATTAAATCCGAGAGGACTGAAGGCGGATGTCCTAAATCATGTTCTCCGAATTCAGTTCAGTCAGCCGTCAAAAGAATAGTTTTTTTGTAACGAAGCCGTTTCGGAAGAGATGTTTTTTTCAAAATTTTTCAGGAAAATATTCTTTTCCTCATAATTCAGTATTTCAGCTAATACAGCTCTCTGAAGACCTTATATTCTGAAATGTAAACCCTCCGGGTTTTAGGCGCTGGTTGACAGTTTATTGTTAGTATATTTTTGATGTGCATTCAAAGATTGTTTAGCTTAAGTAAGATTCCTGTCGATCAAAAAAAGTTACAGATTTGTTCCTGTTCTATCAACATAGTCGTTGTTCATATTTAAGGAGTTCTTACAGTTCCTCTCTTGCTTTTTCTGACTTTTCTTACTTAGCGGTTTTTTTGTTTGCTGTTACACTGTTTTCAAAACAATGCCGTATGAAAGAATAACACGCTATATATTCTAAATATTATCATAGGCTATACGAGTTGGTCGTTAGGTCAAGCTAATGCGGAATCAACTGTGTAATCAGATACATAGCACGTTGTTTTTTCTAAACTTCGTAGAAGATGAAATACATTTTTTTTTATATTTATTAAACATTAAATCATTGATTTACAATATATCTTAATTGTTTCGTATGGGTTAATTTAATGGTATAATTTAATGATAGTCAACTAACAGCTTTGGCTGTTTCAGTCCGAACATAGCTTGAAATAAGTCTTTTGTAGTATGTGTTTGACCTGGTTATTTGAGTTACTGTAACAAGAACTTCTGTCGGCAGATGTACTATTTTGTTGTGATGTCATAATGGACTTTATATTTTGGGTTTTTTGCTGTAGGTGAATTTTAAACTTTGTTCTGATAGCAGAATATGAGGCATTTTCCAGTGATATTGCGTTTAATATCATTTTTGACATTTTTTAGGTGTTTACGTGCCTTAGTTTAGTTTACCTGAGGTGATTGTCTTGATAAGAATATTATTTATGGTATTGGAGTTGGGGTTTTTTCTATATTTTCTTTTAGTTTCAAATTCTTCTTGTGAACTGATGTTAGGAAATTGGTTTTTTTTTTTCAAATTTGTTGTGTTGTTTTGTAGAATGGGATCAAACGTGCAATTTGGGAGTGCTGATAGCGATGGAGAGACAAGTTTTTTTCAATGATGGAATTTTCTTTAATTTATTTTGTTGATATTTTAGGAAGTTGAGTATATAATGGTCGAAAACGAAAGGATCTGCTGTTCTGTAAAAATAATTTATTTTACTAGAAATTACTGCATTTTCATGCCTATAGATGCTCATAAGGACAGCAATATAATGTTTTTGACGTTTAACAACTGTCTGGAGCTATGCAATAATATGATTGGTATGAAAAATTGCTTGAACCCAACCAGCGCTAAGCGTAAGGTTATTTACAGTAAAAATATGTTTTGCTCTTTGATATTGTGAAGCGTTATTTTCCTAGAGACCATGTGTCTGAGTTCGCCAAGTCGAATAAGTTGGTTATTTTCGAAATAAACTTTCATTTATTGATAATTAAAAGAAGGGTTCTGTCGTTTTTTGTTTGGTTTCTCAATCGTAAGGGTATATTAATTTAAGAATGTTGTTCTGATTTGGATATGTGCAGAAATTGAAAAATATTTTTTTATTAATTGTTGTACCTGTCTTTGGAAGAGTTATTTCCTTGAAGGGACCTGACTACCTTCCTTAGGATGTTTAACATTTGTTTTTTCCAGTGTCACTATGAAAAACTAATTTTTTTTAATTTTTGGACGTGGACGTGTTTCGATAGAAGTTTCTGGTATTTGTCTTGTTGTGTAATTCTTGTGTTACTTTAAGGGAGGTTTTGACGTAATCTTCAAAAAAATTTCTTCAGGATTATAACAACGCGATACTCCCAGATTTTGTCAACTTGATTTTATTGTCCCTAACTGCATTGGGAACCGAGCTTCTAGGTGGAGGTCCTAGTCGCTGTAATTTAATTATATAATATTTATTTTGACTACGGTCCAGATACGCTGCCGGGTTCGAGCGTATACGGGCTTTAATTTTGGCGCAGGGGCCCTCAGAAGCTTTTGAAAATTTCGTTAGAAGAGTCTACAGACGGTGCCAGACCGCCATCATACTGGACGCCGCTTTCGGTTAGTTCTCTTACAAATTGAAAAAAAATTATAAGCTGTCTTTCATGTAAATACTGTGGGTGGTTAATGGCATAGCTTAGTGCTTAATGTTTGTGGTAGAATTTTAAATGGTAAGGTTCCTACAGATGTGTTCCTATTTCTTCTGACACATTCTTTTTTTAGGCTGAGAAAAGGAATACCCTTGCGATTGTTGCTGCAGATCCAGTGCCAAGACCAGGCAGTGCCCAAACTAAAATTGACGTGAACGCAGAGCCTCCTTGGGATCCAGATCCACAGTCCGACTGACAGTTGTTATATTATTGGTTAGTGAACTGTCCTGACTTTGTGAAAATTTTTGCCCAAGTTCAGTCATTGAGATTGGAGAACTTGTACCTTTTTTTTTTCTAGCTAACTTCTCACCTAAGCGTTTCTTTCGAGAGCTGCAATTGGTTTTTCTGAAGTTCTTTCATCATTATCCGTTCGAATTTATCCAAAAAAGCATCTTCATTGTCCTTATGCCTCTCAATCCAATCTGAAGCCTTCTGCCGTTGGACGACTTTAGTTAAACTTCGGTCGTTCTTATTTCGCCTTCGTAAACCGCCATAATTTTTGCAGTGGTTAGTAGTATTTTTTTTTACAAGTTTCAAGATTACGCTTGTTCCTTTAGTATTGTTTTTTTCGCAGAATTACGTGATACACGGATTTTTAGGTTTCTCTGCTGTATTTTTGTTTATTATTAGCCAAAAATGATCGACACACTACGTCCTCTGCAACACCCTTCGTATAAAAATGCTCATTCGGAGGAATTTCTTGAAATTCGCTCAGAGCGCTTTTGTGATATTCCCATCAATGTTTTTGTTGATGATTGCGAGGCTCTCTCGGTGGCTCGTTATCTTGCCAAAATGAAGTCAGCCCAGGTAATTATTTTTTTAAGCTGTCTTACTGCTTTTGTTAACAATGTTATTGTTATTATTTTTAATGTTATTATTCGGAAAAAGTTTGTTTATTCATTCATTCATCAACGCAATACTTATTAAATAAGTATTTCTTCGTTGAAGGGTGATAATTATCCCTTTTTTGTGATGGATATGGGTCGTGTTGAAAGTCTTTTAAACACTTGGCAAAGTAAGCTACCAGACGTACAGCCTTTTTATTCGCTACGTTGCAACTCCGATCCTGTACTGCTACACTTGCTAGCTGAACAGAGTAATATAGGTTTTTATTGCACCAGTCGTGCTGACGTCGAACTGGTAAATTATTCGTTGGTTTTAATCAAGAATCTGTAACTGCATTGATAACTTTCTAACCCACAGTTTCTTTTTTACTTTTTATGCGATTTTTAACTTGTGTGTTTGAACAGTGGCAGTACAATTTTATTCCCGTGCCAGTATTTACTATAATTGAATGAGTGAATTCAAATCATAAGGCGTCCAAATTTCATGTTTTTTAATGCATCTGTTGAGGAAAGAAAAGAGTATGGGTTTGTTTTCTGTCGTAGCGGATAACAAATTTTAAGCAATTTGAGGCAGTACTGCTCTTTCAAATGTTTAGGAAATTAGGGTTTTGCAGTGATGAGAGCGACAATTTCCGGCTTCAACTACGTTCAGTGATTTGTGTTCCTAAAGCTATTCTTAATTGTTTTAAAAACTTGAGAAGGAATAATTACGAAGATTTTTTTGTTGGCCGTACTGTTTTTATACCGGTCATTCTTTTCTTTCATAATAGTGATGAAAGAGTTTCTAGTAAGTCTAATTTAAGAACTTGATTGAATGAAGCTTTTTGAACCGTCAAATAATTTTCTTGAAATTTTTGTGGAACTTACTGCCGCTAGAAGTATTTTTTCTTTTTTCGTTGCTTTTAAAACTTCTAGTTGATTACTAAAGAAAGGAAAGATGTTCAGGCGTTGACGATGGTGGGGGAAGATCATATCTTGTACGCAAACCCTTTCTGGACCAAGGGGAATCTGCGTCATGCATGTGAAAACAACGTTGGGATGTTGATGTTTGAAAATGAAAACGAACTACAGAGAATATCTGTTTCGTACCCTGATGCGAGGTTAATGTTTAAGACTGTTGAAAAGAATTTTCTGTGGAGAAAAAATAATTTAATTTTTTTTAGAAGCTGGAGAAACCAAAGTACCTTATAACTGTTAATCGCGGTCTTTGCAGGCTTATTCTTCGTGTTTGCATGAATCCTTCTCTAAACGAGAATGCTATGAAAATTGGCTGTGAAGCTTTCGAGGAGGCACCATCTTTACTTACTGTAGCGGCTCGTATGGGATTGCAAGTGACAGGCATCAGGTAAAGTTTTCTGTTTGCTCTCTGTCTGTGTTTAAGGTGTTAGTAATCTGGAAACGCTTTTCACCACTTCGCTTTTAAGTTTTTCGATTGGAGCTGGTGCTTCTTCTGTCGGCATATACCGTCATGCTGTTGGGTTGGCGCGTCGACTTTTCGATGTAGGAACTTCTCTTGGGCATAAGATGAGCGTATTGGACATTGGTGGAGGGTTTCCCGGTTATAACAGTGCCGTAGGGCTATCATTTTCGCAAGTTGCGGAAGCAGTCAACGCGGCACTGCTTGAACATTTTTCCGATCCAGCCTGCGCTGGTGTTAGGGTTATTGCAGAACCTGGACGATACTTTGCAGCTTCTGTTTTTTCTTTAGTTACGAACATCATTGATAAACGTATCGTTGATGCAAGCCTTGTCACAAGCGATTGTAAGTATTAGTTTTAATCAATCCAGTTTGTACCTCCTTTCTGATTTTATTACTGTAAATCGTTTTTTAAAGTGTAATTATCTTCTTTTTGAAAGTTTAGCACCAGAATTTATCTGTCATTTTAGCGTATGATAGTGGATCAGCTGGTTTTGTTTACCAAACAAATGAGGGTTTCTATGGCTCGTTTGGATGTTGTTTGACAGCTCATTGCGAGCCATGTTGTCGCCCACTTGTGGAAGTTGATGAAGATTATAATAATTACACTTATGCCACCATACTTGGCCCCACTCTCAATAGTGCTGACGTTGTGCAGCCTATTGCGCGTCTACCGCAAATGGAGGTATGCATCCATTGGCTTAATATTAAGCAAAACTTTTCATTATTAGTAGGGGTTGACTTATTTTCAAAGCTGGTCATCTCGTACGGCCGAAATTTTATTGAAAAGGTTGTTTAAGGTTGGTGAATGGCTGATTTGGAACGATATGGGTGCATACACACTTGGGAATCGTGGAACATTGGGAGAAAATGGAGCAAATGTTCCTTCAGTGTATTATTTGGTTGGGAATGAACACTGGTAGTTACTATTTCATTGTTCAGCTCATTTATACTTTTATTGCGGTTAGGGTTTTGTTGTTAATGCTGAATAAAAACTTTTAGGCGACATCTTTCTCGACCTTCAACTCCTGAGAGCCTGGTCAGTTCAGTTCATTCAGGGGCCGAGTCTGACTCAGATCCCTCTCATTCGACGGATTGTCAGGCGCTGGAGGGTGGCGATGTTGGAAGTGTAATTGCAGACGAGGTGCATTATTGGTGTTCTGTAGCTACGTGATTGAGATATAGAGACCAAGGAGGTGAAGATGCTTTTTTCGTTTTTCTTCGTTGATGAGTTAACGTCTGGACTACATTTTTTTGTCATATTACGTATAGTGGCATCGTAAGGCCGCTGTCGTTTTTCGGTTATTTATTCGGTGTTTAACCCTTGGAGGAATTATTCCGAGAGGTAAATCTGTTTTTTTATATTCTTACTCTTATTTATTCATTTCTATAAAAATGTTTGTTGCGTGAATTGTTTCATACATCCTTTTGTAGTGTCTCGTTTTGGTAACTTCATTTTTTCACTTTGAAACTTTTTCAAGATGACAACTTTATTTTCCTAAAATTTATGTAAGAATTCCATATTCAATGCTGAACATTTCCTTTCTCATTCATTCACTTTTGATACTAAATTTGTGTTTTTGTGTGTAGAGACCTCTTCAGAGTCTCAGTTTGGCTGGTGTTTTATTGTTGTATCGCTTCAGTCTTTTGGTAGTAACAGGCAGTTCTATTTTTTGTCCTTCCTGATGAAATTGCATTCACCTTTTTACAATGTTAACATTGAACGAAAGTCAAAAAACTATCATTAAAAAAAAAGTTTGACCTGTCTGTTTTTATTTTTTGTTTTAGTTAGATAACTCGACACTAAATTTATGCTGGTAATGTTTTTGAAACGTGTTGTATGTTGTGAAAATTGAATTCATTGACCAGTGCTGACTTTTTTGCTTATTCTCTCTAGGCTGTGA